GGATCTGATTTTCAGCAAATAGAAAGTTGGTAACTCTAACCGGTCCCCTCTCATAGACCTCACTCCTCCAGGTCAGTTTTCTCTTCCTGTTCTGGTTGGTGTGACAGAGCTGCTCAGAACAGACCTGCTCCTTTTGTAACTTCTAATCCCGTCTGTCATGTGACCCTCCTGGTCAGCCTCAAAACCTCCCTCAGGTAACCAAGGATTTCTCTCAGCGGTTACCGTTCAACAGAGTCCGCACCTGAAAATCTGGTTTTACTTAGGTTGCAACCATGCCATTTTTCTACTAGGGCAAGGCTCATTCAACTGATGATCCTGTCCCATTCAGAGGCAGACATCCAGACACCAGCCCCCCTCTCCTTAGCCCAAGAAGTATGATTCAAGAATACACCAGAGGACAGCTGGAAGGGCATAAATATGCAGAGAGCTGATAAAATCAAAAAGCATTCACAAACTATATGTAGATAAGTGCCACAAGTCATCACAAACACCCAACTAACTCTAATAATCTAACAGCTGTCTACTGCAATTCACAGAAATGGTAAAAAGCCAAGTAAGAAGTAATACTGAATAAAAAGAAAACTAATTGTATATTAGTGCCCAGATCCTCAAAGGTATACTGATTTCAGTTGGAATTAGACACCTAAACATCTTTGAGGATCTAGGACTATGTCTCCTATTCCAGGGTATCTTGCATCAAAGGGCATTTAGGGCTCTATGTTAAATAGGGAAGCAAATGTGTTTGTGTTATAGATATTCTGTTCTTGCAGTTACCTTTCATTTCAATTCCTGGTGCCTCTGAACTAATCAAAGATTGTCACTAATAGAGGAACAGCACATGGAGGGACACATTTTGTCCACTGAAAATCTGGCCCAGTGTTTAATAAATCTGCTCACATGGCTCACAGTGCATGAGGCCTTACATTTCCAGGTCACACAGATTGGGGATGAACAAGGGGAGGGGCTATGGTTGCACACTTTTTAGATCGAAAGGCTGGCTTCAGCAGGCCATGCGTGCCCAGCAGAAAGAGAGAGCAACAGAGTGGTGCAAAATCTCACTGCTTCACAAAATGCTTCGCAGTGCACCCCGTTGCTGAAAAAAAGATGTCAAAATCAACACAACATGGATGGTGACATTTCCTAAAAAGGTGGATGGTGGATGAGACAATGACGAATTTTGTCTTGGTGCCTCTTCAAAGGCACATGCAACAAAAGTTAGAAGTGTCTGTGGAGTGAAACACACACCCACCTTTACGAGATTCAATATCCTTCATCAGAAATCCGTACTCTTCAACAATCCGGTCCTCTATGGCCCTCTTGCCCATTCCAAAGTCTCGTAAGGTCGTGAGGGTAAATCTTCGCATCACTTTCCAGTTATTGCCATGAGAAAAAATAACACCTGAAGTGGAGAGAGAGCTTCAAGTCAGCAGAATAATTAAAATAAATACTTCTTAGAGATATAACCTTACACCCAGAACATTCATTTTGATGCGCTAGAGCTAGTCAAAAATGGGGGAGGGAAATTTTTTGTCATGAAAATTTTATCTACATTTTTTTCTGTTTTTTCTATCCCAGTATCATGGACATTTTGAAATGAGAAACATTTCCTCCAGCCTTAAGACACACCATAATAAATTAACATTTTTTGATACACTACAGTAATCAGAATGGTTTTTGCATGATATTGATTTGCTATGTTTTTGCAGTGTGATCAATTAGATGGAAGAATTTATCTAAGTTCCTTAAATTGTAATTTCTAAAACATATTTATTGAGCTTTATAATCACTCAGTCTAGCAAAATCATTCAGAAAAATCACTATCTGGAGCATGGGCCAAATTCAGAGGTCCTACCCAAGGTGGCATCAGTTACATTCCCTTCCTCTGGATCTCTTTGTACTCAATGAGGCCCTGATTCAGGGAGACATCTCTATTTAGTGAAGTATTAAGCACACACTCAACTTTAAGCATAGCTTAAGTCCCACTGATGTCAATAAAAGTTAAATACATGCTTAAAGTAAAGAACTTGCTTGTGTACTTTCCCGAATAGGGAAGATTGTCTGCCCGAGACCTATTTACAACCATCCTATGTGGCCTATGATGGTGGCTGAGGACCCAGAAGGGGAGGCAGGGGAAGGTGTAAGTGAAACTAGAGAGGAGACTATTTCCATATTGTCAACCCCAAGCATTAAAAATCACCAGTCAGGTCCCCAAAAAATCATAAGATTTTAAAAAGTAACAAATTTTTAAAAAACAACAAATTGTATGTTCTGTACTTGCCTTCTGGGTTTTCAGTCTTTCAGATTCATATTTTCAAGCTTTTATCTCAACCAGAGCTAGTGTAATAGGGGCTTTCACAGCTGATACAGAGGGGATTAAATCAAGCACCTCCAGTGCTAAAAGCACTAGCAGCTACTGTTTGAGCTAAACAGCCAAGCTACTGTAATTTGGGGTTGTAACAACTCACGTCCTCTGTGGAGCAGTACAGTGTGGAACCTGTAACATACTCACCAGCAGGTTCCATTAGAAACTATTTTTTTTTAAATACAAGCAGATGTTTTCACATGATTCCAGGAGCTGGGGCTTTATAAAAAACACCCAATATCATGAGGCTCACAACAATATCATGAAAGTCAGCAACGCTGCCATTTCAGTGTCCATCTCCTTACAATTCTGCAGTATGTGACTTCAACTTAGTCTCCCTTAGACATGGGTACAGGGGGTATGACTAGTTCTAAGGAACTCGTGTCTCATTAAGGCTGTTTCTGCTCTCACTCGCGCCACTTTTAGCCTCAAGTCCATGGGCTTCTCTGAAGTTACTCCTAATGTATGCTGATTGACATACATACTGATCCAAATTGGCATGCCAGCCCCTAAGCCATTCGCTCCCTCCACAGAGAAACCATTCCACTTGTTTGAGTAAGTTAGGCTTATGAGTAACAAGAAAACTGTCACCATATCCTTTTGAAAGCTCTTCAAATACTGGGACTTTAGGTCTCTCTGCAAATGCATCTGCCTGGTTCACAAGAGCCTCCTTCACTGTCTCGTATCCCGAGAGCACCACCATTTTCTGGCATCCCATCTGAATGCTGAAGACTGGGCCATATTTTTTGGACAGCTTAAATGGGGAAGAAAATACAATGACTTAAAGAAAGAAGTGAAAGTCACAGCTGGTTCAACACTATTTTGCCATCATGACTGAATGTTATTCCAATGTCAAATTCTTTCCTACGTGCAGAGAAAAAGAAGCAGTGGTTAGTAATAAGGCTATCATTCAATGTTTTAATTATTAATTATGATGATAGGCCCAGATCCTCAAAGGTATTTAAGTGTCTAACTCCCACTGGGTCATAATGCCCTAGGGTGACCAGACGTCCTGATATTAGGGGCTTTGTCTTATATACACAACTAGACCCCCCCATCCAAAAATGTGTCCTGATTTTTCACACTTGCTGGCTGGTCACCCTATAGTTCCCAAAGTGTTCAGTCTGGACTAGAACCTTATTGTGCTAGGTGCTGCATAAATACGGTCACTGTGACAAAGATCTTACAGTCTAAGTCAATCTGTTTAGATGACGACCATGAAAATATAGGGACAGATTCTTGTCTGTATCCAGTGTCCAGAAGGTGCAGCTCAGTGGGGAATAGAGAGTGAAAAGGAGCTGGTTGCACCTCCCTGATCTGAGGTCCAGTTCTATTGCAGCCCAGAGACCGAGCTTAGAGCAGTCATGGGGCTGCTCTAAAGTATGCTGGCTGGACTGGTTCCCCGGGTTCCTTTACACTAGCTAGGGATTGTTGGAGCACAGCAGCACACCAGTCATACCTCCGCCCACTTGTTTGCCAGATGCTATGTGGGGTGGTGACCCAGGAGCCAGAGATACTAGCTCTACGCAGGTCTGAGGACTCCTCCATGGTGAAGGAGCTGCCCAACCTGTTAATCAGTTTAGCCTCATTTTGACCTTAAAATCCTAACTCCGTTTCTCATGTTACCATTTTCCTTTTGTTTCATGCTTTTCAGATCAAATCTCCTTCTCTGCTGGCTCAAAGATGCAGGGAGAGTTTGGTTTCAAAGTCTTTAGCTAGTATTGAAAATATTCTCATTGTTTATATGTACACACACACCCATAAATCTATTTATAAGCTGTATTTCCCAGATTTGTTTGGTCTAAACTTGAAGTTGATTTATTTGCATTGCAGATATATTTTCAGATGCCTGGACTTCTGAGTCCTTGGGCCGGGCCTGGTCATGTCATTGTCTGCACTCATCTCATAAAGCAATTGAATTAAAAAAAAAACAATTATTCAACAACCACAGGAGATATACAGTTAATGATTCTAGCTAATTATAAGCAATACCACAGAGCCAGCTACACTTGTATAAAACCAGTGTAACTCCATTGATGATAATGCAGTAAGGTTGCCAACTTTCGAATCGCACAAAACCGAACACCCCTGCCCTGCCCCTTCTCCGAGGCCCTTCCCCTTCTCCAAGGTCCCACTCCCCATTTGCTCCATCTCCCCTCCCTCCGTCGCTCACTCTCCCCCACCCTCACTCACTTTCACTGGGCTGGGGGTTGGGGTTGGGGTGCGGGAGGGGGGGGAGGGCTCCGGCTGGGGGTGCAGGCTCTAGGGTGGGCCCAGAGATCAGGGGTTTGGGGCAGGAAGGGGCTAGGGGCTGGGGCAGGTGATTGGGGAGCTGCCACTCTGTGCGAAGGCAGCGCATGGAGCCTCCCTGATCACCCATGCGCCTAGGGGCCGTAGGAACCTGGCAGCCACTTCCGGAAGCTGTGTGGAGCCAGGTCAAACAGGGAGCCTGTCTTAGCCCTGGGCTCCCACTGCATTGCCAACCGGATTTTTAACGTCGGAAACCGGATGCCTGGCAATCTTATGATCAGTGCCGGCTCCAGCATTTCTGCCGCCCCAAGCAAAAAAATGGCAGGTCCTTCGCTCCTAGAGGCAGGGCCGGCTCTGGCTTTTTCGCCGCCCACTGCCTAGAGGGAGTGAGGGACCTGCCGCCCCTGAATTGCCGCACATGCCACCCCTCTCCCTTGGCCGCCCCAAGCACCTGCTTGTTAAGCTGGTGCCTGGAGCCGGCCCTGCCTATGATGCAATTACTCCAATGTTAGGCTGGTGCAGCTGAGAGCAGGATTTGGTAAAAAATATGTTCTCAAGTCAGGGTTCTCTATAATGATAACGTTTCAGTTCAGTGTGAGCATAAGGTTTCAGACTTTTTATCTATGTATCTAGTAGAGGCTTGAATACTGAATGATAAACATAGTGGGCCAAATTCATCCATTGAAGTCAGTGGTGTTGCACCAGGAATCTATTTGGTCCAGTTTGCTTGTTAAATGTGTTGTGGATAAAAGTAATTTAGACAAATATTCAAAGAAATGGTCATACAACCCAACTCTGACTCCTCTGAGTCTGATCTTTAGGGAAGGCAGCATGTTTGTGGATACAAATTTGCACCTGCTGTTACAGTATTGAAACATCTACCTTGTACTCATAAACTGCAGAGTAAAATGTCTAACTTGTATTTGCGCCCAGAATTCATAGTGGGTAGACTTATTTGTTGATGCAAACGTGTGCCCCTCAAAGTGGAATCTATTCAGATCCAGCTGAAAACCAGACCTTTGTGTCAGTTTCTAGCATGCAGTAGAATGACTAAGTAGCTCTGTCAAATTTATGCTGGATGTGGCAAGTATAAGCATGTGAACATTTATATACAATGCTGGGTTCATGGACATGACTGATGTTAGGGATCTATAACATTCCAAAGTAAATGGACACCATAGGTGAGATCCTGGTCATATTGAAGCCAATAGGAGTTTTGCTATTGCCTTCGATTAGGCCAGGTTTTCACTACAGGTTTCTATCTCTAAGCTCTGTCGCTCTCGCTCAACCTGCACAGGGTGAGGGGAAATTATCCTATATTTAACATTGCATTACACATCCGGGTAGTGACAGGTAGAAGAGATGGAGGATACCCTCTGACCTTGGGGATAACGTGGTTTGGTGAACAATGTGATAATACAAATACCAAAAGGATTTACCTCCAGCATAGTTCGGTAGGGCCTCTTCAGGTCCATTATATGCAGATTTCCAATGATGGGTAAAGGCTTTGGTCCCGGGGGGAAATCCTCTTGGAAGTTGCTATTCCAGAATTTTTCAGTTTTCATAATAAACAGAAGAGTCAGGACAAAAAGTAAAAATATGGAAATGGGATCCGTCCACTCCATTGCCTTTCAATAAGCAAATTGCTGCACAGGGTAAAATGCAAGGGTGCAATAAAAATATGATCAGTGTCCGTTGGCAGAAATTAGCAGCGTGAAGTACTAATGCCCGTCATATTAGCTACTGCATAGACCTTACCTATAATATAGTATTTAAACTATCAGGTGACTGCAAATAATTTATTCTCCTCCCCAGTCATTTGCTAATCCCCATTCAGTGAATAAATGACGATTGCTATATACAATGAAAGGGGCAGTGCCTGGCTTGTCAAACCAAGGCTTATGTAACATGTTGACAGAGAAGTCTATGGATCTCATTGTGCTGGCTGAAAGCCCAGCAGTCCGGTTTAGCAAAAAAAGTCAGTCCAGTTACTGATTTAAATAAAGAGTGAAATTGCAAACTCTGCAAAGGTTACACTGCTCTACAGCCAAAATGCTTCTGAAATAAATGTAGTCAAACTTTACTAATTCTGGGTCACTGAGAACGAAAATGATGCTTAAAATTGTTGATTGGCTCTAGTTTTCAAGATATGCTATTGGGTCAGTATATACGACCCTTGACTTGGGAATGGCGGAGGATAAGTGAGTTATAAAGGGAAGGGATCTCAATTTAAACCAGAAATGACTAAAATACATCTTTGACTGGATCTATGAATAAATCTATGACTGGGTTTGGACAGTACTTGCTTTTTAGGCAAAACAACGAATGATGCAATCTGAAGCTGGTATTGCGTCATACATGATATGAATTGCGTCATGTTATTCCTAGAAGTCATGGATGATGCAATCATAACGAAGCTTACATCACTCTGCTGAACAAATTGCCCTATATCACCTCTAGAAATCATAGAGTGTCGTGCTCTCTTATTTGTCAGTGTTTGATTTTGCAAAGGGACACATTTCTGTTTAGCCAAAGTGAGCAGAGATGCCTCGTACTTGTGTGAACAGTGCAGATAACTTCTGCTATGTTTGTGGTGAAGTGACTTTTGTATCACAAAAGCGCAGTATAACCACTATGGTTAAGAAAGCCTATCACCTTTATTTTGGCTGCAAAATTGGAGATCAGGACAAGAGGTGGGCCCCACACATATGCTGCAACACTTGTGCAACAAATCTTCGCCAGTGGTTGAACAGGAAAAGAAAATCTATGCCTTTTGCAGTGCCAATGATTTGGAGAGAGCCAATAGATCATACCAGCAATTGTTACTTCTGCATGGTGCCTCCAGTTGGGAAAGGTGTGTCAAAGAAGAAAAAGTGGACTGTGCATTATCCAAACATTCCATCAGCTATATGCCCAGTACCCCACGGAGAAGGACTGCCGGTTCCTGATGCACCAGAATCATTCTCACTTGATTCAGACGAGGAAGAGGAAGAGGATGAAACTTCTGGTCCTGAACCATCAATGTCACAGGACCCACATTTTTTCCCATCCTCCTCCTCTGAACCACACTTCATAACACAAGGTGAACTGAATGACCTTGTCAGGGATTTGGAACTACCCAAGAGTAAGGCAGAACTGCTGGGCTCCAGACTACAGCAGTAGAATCTCCTGGCAGGTGATGTTAGGGTTTCCATGTTCCGTGACTGTCAAAATGATCTTGTCCCATTCTTCTTCATGGAAGGTGATCTTGTAGCCTGCAACAACATCGATGGTGTGATGGCAGCCCTCAACATCGTTCACGATCCAGATGAGTGGAGACTGTTCATTGATTCATCGAAGACGAGTCTTCAAGCTGTTTTACTGCATAATGGCAATGTTTTGCCATCAATTCCAGTTGGTCATGCAGTCCATATGAAGGAAACCTATGACAACATGAAACAACTTTTGAGGTGCATAAACTATGACCAACATCAGTGGCAGCTTTGTGGCGATTTGAAGGTTGTTGCTCTCTTGCTTGGTCTGCAGACTGGATACACAAAGTACTGCTGTTTTCTCTGCGAATGGGATAGTCGTGCAAGAGATTCCCACTACATCAAGAAAGATTGGCCATTCCGACAGTCATTGGAGCCTGGGAGGAAAAGTGTTCAGCATCCACCACTTGTTGAATCAAGGAAGATTTTGTTACCACCCTTACACATCAAGTTGGGTCTGATGAAGAACTTTGTCAAGGCCATTGACAAAACACAAGCAGCTTTCAAGTACCTCCGTGGAAAATTTCCAAGGTTAAGTGAAGCTAAGATAAAGGAAGGTGTCTTTGTTGGTCCTCAGATTCGTGAACTTCTTCGAGATGATGCATTTGACCATGCACTGCTTGGCAAGGAAAAGACGGCATGGAAAGCCTTCCAGTTAGTGGCAATAAATTTTCTCGGAAACAACAAGGCAGACAACTACAGGTTGTTGGTGGAAAACCTCCTCAAGGCATACAAAAACTTTGGTTGCAACATGTCACTAATGTTACATTTTTTGCACTCTCATCTAGATTTTTTTCCACCGAACTGCGGAGCAGTGAGCGACGAGCACGGCGAGCGATTTCACCAGGACATTGCAACAATGGAGAAACGCTATCAGGGCAAATGGAGCCCATCAATGCTTGCAGACTATTGCTGGACAGTGACAAGAGATGCTCCATTTAATGAATAAAAGAGACAAGCCAAGAAGCGCCGAGTAGACACTGAATAGGACTAAACTATGTACAGAATAGTTTTTTGCCTTTTGTTTCATAATAAATTTTATTTATATTACCCTTTTGCTGATTTTTAAAGTGTTACATAAACAGGACAGGTGAAATATTATCATGTAAAGCAACCATAAACACATGAAAAGACCTAGGTTTACAATTTATGATTAAAACTCTACTATCTACACAATATACATAGACATACAATGTAAAAACTTAAATATCTTAGAAACAGTAGCCAATCAGTTGTTTTAATTGTCATATTTGAATTCAGCACATCAAAATACATAATAAATAGCACATTTTGTCTCTGAAGCAGACGACTTCTCAAAAATTGTAGACCAGTGTTATTGACAGATTGACCCCTGAAGCCAGAGGGCTGGCCAAATGCAAGTGCCAAAGCTGGATGAATAGAGCTCTGAAGGTGGGATTTTTCCAAAGTGTTCAGCATTAGTTTAACTCTACTCCCTTTGAAATCAATGGGATATTTACCACTGGCTTCAATAGGAACAGAATTAGGCCAACACTGAACATTTTTGAAAATTCTACTCCACTTCATTCCATCAAATTCAGCTGCCACTCTGGTGGAGACCTCGTATGATCTTCACATAGTGGGCCTGCTCTAATATAACCTGGGATTTTCAAAAGACCGTACAGGAGTCAGGAACCCAACTCTTACTGACTTAAATTGGCAATTTAGTGCCCAATCCCCTTAGACTCCTTTGAAAATGACTGCTACAAAGGCCAAATTCTGGTTGCCATATTCATATGGGTAGTAGTAGCACTTCACAGGATCGTGACCCTTGCATTTGCAGATTCCAGATGTATGGGGAGATTTTGATGGACCAGCAAAATGCCTGGACCACTACCGATAATTAGCATATCCATGATCATGCTTATTGCCAAAAGCAGCTAAATCAGTAGGTCTCAGATATGCTAAGGCTGTTGTAGAGGCCTGCTAAGCAAGAAGCTA